GCCCTAGCGCAGAACATGTGTTCCCCCTCCATATTTGGCAGCCCGGCAGTTGTTTCTGAAATCTGATTCCTAATGCCATGGGGATGACCTTTGGTCTACTTCCCAGCATTCACCTGCAGTCACACTGCTCCCCAGAAGCTCATTCCAAGAGTGGGCGACTTGGCAAGACACCCTGGTCATGATCTAACTGTTTTAATTAAGCCTCTTTATTGGCATGACCAGTAAGCCATGGTCCAGAGAGGTGGAGCTTATTTAAGAGGTAAGGTCAGGGGAATTTTTCTTTTTTAGTGGGGAAGCATTTTAGCTTTGGGTAAAGTGTAGTTTTCAGGACTGGAAAGTTGTGACTGTTTGAAGACTGCTTTTAAATAAACCCAGAGCTCTGGAGTATTCCTGAGCCAAAGAAAGGCTGTTTGTTTACTTAAGCAATGGCAGCAAAGGAAAGATTTGAAGAAGCAACCTGACAAGTCTGTTTGTCATGTGGAGCGTTGCCAGTTTTTTTTTTTTTTTCCTAGCCTGCTATTTGGAAATGTAAGGGGTAACTTTAGAAACGTATCCTGTTTTGTAGTGATGCCTGTTGACACAACAGACCCCTAGGAATCCTGTAAGCAACAGGCCTTAGCACTGTTGCTAGGATGGGGAAACTGGATGGGGAGCAGTGGGGGTGGGGAGAGGGGGAGGGACGGGGGAGGGACGAGCTCAAAGGCACTGCGGGAAATGAGGCAGAGGTGAGAGCTCCACGGCCCGAGTGTGTGCCCCTCGATTTGCAGAAGTGGCTAGCAGACTAAACAGGAATGATCTGTTTTTCATACATTCAACAAGTATTTCTGGAATGCCTCCCTGTGCCAGGGGACTATTCTGGGCATTGACTCCAGGCCTCTGTACCATAGTGTTCATAGATGTCCAGTTGTTTTATTTCCTTGGAGCATGGCAGGAAGATGATGGGAGTCATAGGATTCCCACTGCCTGGTGAGGTAGCATAAGGCAGGGCGTCAAGGGTGCAGATTCTGGAGCCAAACCATCTGAGCCCAAGTCCTGGCTTCACTGCTTCCAAATAGTGTGATTTGGGGCAAGTGGCTTAACCTCTCTGTGCTAAGTGACCCTAGCAGTAAAATAGGGTTGTTGTAAGAATTGGATGAGTTCAAATATGTTATGCACTTAAAAACAATAGTGCAGGCTACCCCGGTTGTCCGCCTTCTGAATGTAGAAAATTCCTAGGAAAGCTTTTCTAAGCTGATATGGCTTAAAGCAGTGATTACCTTAGGATATCTCTTGCTGATAGATGCACAAAATAAACTGAATAAAGCCCAGGTGCTTACAGACATAGTTCAGAGAGAGATATGGCGACTTGTTGCTGGGATGTTGAGTGTGGCTCCCAGCCAAGGAGCTTGGCGGGGCCACTCTTGCTGCTGCTAGGCGTTCATGCTGTCTCCATACCAGCTTTGCTGCAAAAGAAATGCTGAAAGGTATTTTTGCTTTGTGCCTTTTCAATAAAAGCAAAAATCCCCTTGGGATTTCTTTTTTTAAAATTTATTTATTTATTTATTTATTTATTTTTGTTTGCCCTGGGGTCTTCACTGCTTCACTCGGGCCTTCTCTAATTGCGGGGGTCGCGGGGAGGGGCAGGGGCTAATCTTTGGTGCGGAGCATGCGCTTCTCACTGTGGCTTCTTCTGTTGTGGAGCAGGGCTCTAGGCGTGCGGACTCCAGTAGTTGCAGCACGTGGAGTCAGTAGTTGTGCGTGGGTTTCGGAAAAACATGTACAGGTCTTTTGTAAAACAGAAGTGATGTAAAGCAAGCTTGAAAATCAGTGGAGACCTGTATGTGGCACATAGAAAGTGTTCATAATAATGTCTGCTGTGATTATTCTACCAAAAAATATGCGATGTAGGCATTGGGTGTTATTATCGTGGAAAGAGTATTGGACTTCAAGGCAGGAGACCTGGCAAAAGTTCCTTCACTTCTGTTTCTGAGAAGTGGAAAACAGTATTTTACCTGCCTGCTAGCACACACGGATTTTCTAAGAACTAGAGGATGTGAAATAACTGCCCAGTGCAGTGTGCTGTCCCCAGAGGTGGTATAATTGCCTTTATTTTGACTCTAATCAGCTCTGTTTTTGCTGGAGAGAACTGCCGTTCTTCTTACAGATTCGCTTTCTATGAGAGGACAGGTGGGGCTGAAAAGTGATAAAGGTCTACCCTGTTTTCTTCTCTGAAGACAAACCTGAGTCCTTGTCATATTTCCTTTGCTGGAGGAAATTCAGCACGCGGTCCCCTCCCCACCTTGGGTGAGAGCAGAGCTCTGCCTCCTGATTCCATCTGTTGTTTGCATCTGTCTGAGCTGTTAGACACATCAGTGTCTTTCCAGAATTACTTTAAATTACCCTTGATCCTGGAATAAAGAGCAGGAGATTTATCTGTTCAATTATTTGCAGATAATGTGGTGATTGAAAGGGAAGCCTGGCTGCACAAGGAATTTGGAGCTGAGACCTGTATGATAGTTAGACAAGCAGGAATTGGGTTAGAGTTTTAAAAATGTGGGACCCTGATATGAAAATGTCACTCACTCTGTATTATGATTCTGGAGTCATCATAGTTAAATGGTAAAGCAGGCACCCAAAGGTAGTAGGATGGTATAAAGAGCCTTCTTCAGAAGAGTCAGGGACACTTTGAAATTGGAATTTACTGTGACTGGAAGTTTGTATTGTCTTGATATTACTCTAGAGAGTGATTTCTGTTCAGGACTCACAGATCAGAAGACTGAAGTCCACAGGACAGAGCAGGGTGCTCATTACAGGGAATGGGTCAGCCAGCATGGAGGTCACGCCAGCCTGGGGTCCACAGTTGCCCTCTTAGGTGAGGAATCGACCCCAGCTCCCCTCCTCAACTGAGATGCCTCTCGCTGGCTTTGGAATCAGAGAGGATCAGGTCCACCAGACTGCCCTGATGTGTGATCTTGGCCAGATTCATAACCTCTTAAAACCCCTGTTCTAAGACAGCGGCACGAGTGTTGATAATACAGCTCAAAATACTTTAAATTTTTATCTGGAGTGGCTTCATGTAGAAATTTGAGTAATGGGATGATAAATAAAAAAGAAGCCTATAAGAAGATTTGCCATTAATTTTTATTTTTAGTTGGCGTGTGGTTGCGTTGCACTCTTGTGTTGGTCTCTGCTGAGCAGCAGCCTGGATCAGCTACATGGATATGTTTGTTGTTCAGTCGCCCAGTCCTGTCCGACTCTTCGCGACCCCATGAATCGCAGCACGCCAGGCCTCCCTGTCCATCACCAACTCCCGGAGCTTGCTCAAACTCATGTCCGTTGAGTCAGTGATGCCATCCAACCATCTCATCCTCTGTTGTCCTCTTCTCCTCCTGCCTTCAGTCTTTCCCAGCATCAGGGTCTTTTCAAATGAATCAGCTCTTCGCATCAGGTGGCCAGAGTATTGGAGTTTCAGCTTCAACATCAGTCCTTCCAGTGAACACCCAGGCACTTAGTCGATGCTCAATAAACAGATGTTGTTTTATTGTTGTGTTCTTTCCCTTCATTCTGTCTCAGCAAGAGTGAATGAAGATTTTTTTGAATTGTAGTATTCCTATTTAGCACTGGGAAGTTTGAGCCCTCGAGAGCTGAAGCATCTTTTATACTTTACCTCTGGACACAATGGGGTGAATACAAACAGCCAACCACTCAGTGAAGTAGACCAGCTGCGGAAACATTTTGTCTTGGCTTTTCTCTACCAGCTGAGTCTGTACTCTCTGCTGCAGCCTGCCTTCCTCCACAATGGCCAGAGACAGACTGCCAGTAACTCTTGCGTTCATGTTCTAACAGAGCCAGCGACCGGTTTACCATCCCTCTGGTTCTCTGGGGAGTCCTGAGGAAGGACCTGCCTTAACCCGAGTCTTGTGCATATCCGGATGGGCAGGGGTGAGGGGTGCTAGGACTGACGTTTCCATGAGAACCTTAGGGGCAGAGGGACAGAAGAGCAGTTCTTTAGAAGGCAGATCTGGCTCCAGAGAAAAGTGTGTGTGTTGTTTTGGGGTGCGGGGGTTCAGGAACCCTGCTGAGAAGACAAAAGACAACCACTGGGGACTTCCCTGGTGGTCCAGTGGTTAAAACTCTGTGCTTCCATTGCAGGAAACATGGGTTCAATTCCCACTGCAGGAGACATGGATTCGATTCTCTGGGGAAGTAAGATCCTACAAGCCTCTCAGGGCAACCAGAAACCTAAATAAATACATAAAAAGTTGTTTAAAAAAAAGAAGACAACCACTGCCTTGAGGAATACTGCTGGGGATTCCTAGAAGTCCTTTCCTCCATTTCTGATATTGTATCAGACTTAAATGAGCATCATTTAAATTGAGTTTTTAAAACATCTCATCTCTTTCTATCCTATGATTTGATGTTTTGACTGTGCTTTAAATGTTTGCATTTTAGTTTGAAAAATCATCTGAACAGCAGACAAGCTTTCTGTGCCATTTAAGAAATGATGACCAACTCTTAGAATGGTTGAGACCTCAGTGAGTGGCCCCAGAATTTTTTCAGTTTTTTTTTTTCAGGTTTCCAGCTGAATTCTGGTGTGCAAACTGTGGGGCAGGGGCAGGAAGTGTGTTTTCCTTGAGGTGAGGCCACAAACAAAACGCACTAAGATCTTAGATTCAATATCCCACTTTCTCCAGAAAGCAGATGGCCCCCAAAGTGTGAGGGGTGTCCCCACTGTGTTTTTTTTTACTGAAACAGTCAGCCTACTCAGCTCAAATCGCTGGTTTGCTGTGTTTCTCCTCCATCAGGTGAGAGCAGGGCTTTGCTCACCGTGTGCCTCCAAAGCCTCGCTCCGCGCCTGGCACAGTCAGTGCTCAGATGGACAGTAAAGCAAAATAACAAACAAACAGACAAAAACACCCCTGGCTCTTCAGTGTTGTGCTCAGCGACCTATTGATAAAGTCTCTGTGTTTTCAAAGGTTCCTGCTTGATTTCCTTTCCAATTTCTCTTTCTTGTGGCCCAGAGGACTTCTTCGGCGCGAAGTCCAGAATCCGTGCAACCACCCGGGAACAGTCAGAGAGGAGAACGGAAGCCCGAGGAGGCACCCAGAGGCGCGGACCCAGGAGGCCTGTCCAGGTAGGACCAGGTCCAGAGGTGTGACCCAGCCCGAGGTGTGGCCAGCTCTCGGCCTGCTCAGCTTTTGTTTGCTCCATTTGCTTCGGAAATTTTATCCTAAAATCCATGATGTAGTTGTCGGTGGTGAGATGTTCCAAGCAGTGGTTCCTAGACCTCTTTGTGATTTGCCTAGACCTGCCTGATTGGAAAGTTAATATTTTCCTGCCCAGAGATGCAATTAGTAATGATAGGCTTCCATACCACAGCATTCCAGGTCTTTTATCCTCCTTCTCAGAACTTACAATAAAAAAGATGAAGGCTGCCAAGGGCCTTAGGAGGGTGTGGCTAATCTGTGGTGAAGCTGGAGTCTGTATTCCAAGACAGAAGTCAAGGTGGGCTTCCAGAGGTGATACAGAGGATTCAAAGAGCCATCATCCAGTCCCAGGGAGGCTGGTGGATGAATTTCAGAAATCAACAAGGCTCCCCTGCCACAGTGGAACACAGCCAGTGCAGGTGTGACCCGCTGGTCAGGCGTTTCTCATTCTGACTCACAATCGGGTCCTGATTTCCTTGTTGGGGCTATTATTCAGCACCCACAGGTTTGGCATTATTCAGAAGCAGAGGGCGAGCAGATGTGAACATTCTGTCCCCAGAACAGACACAGGTCAGGACACTGGAAGCAATGAATAATTGTCTGTGAGTTCAACATATGATCTGGTTAGAAAAACCCTTCTGAACAAATTGAAGCCCAGCTTCTGGGAGGCTGTAGTTATAGGCCTTAAAGGAACAAATGAACAAAAGCTGCAAGGACAAAAATGCAAAATTGAGTGATACACACTGTCCCCGCTCCATCACCACCCCGCCACCCACCACCAAGTCCCTGTCACTGACTTTGGGTTTCAAAAGCTTTGCAGTCATTTTTCACTTGAACACTTTTAGCAACATGTTTTGCTTTGGCTTTGAACTGTGGAAGGTCATGGGTGAGTAAGAGCGGCCCCTGGTGGCAGGAATTTCCATGCCTGCTGGTGTTATTTTCTGGGTGGCTTTGGTTAGGCAGTCCACTGGGTCGCACAGAGTCGGACACGACTTAGCAACGGAACAACAACTGATTATGTGGTTTGAGGAGGAGGCACTTTGAACGTCTTGCATAAACATTGGATTTCTTTAGGGAAATGATGATCATATGGGGCAGAGGGTTCTTTTTTCGCTGAGGGAGGCATGAACTTGAATGGCACCTTTGATCTCAGTTCTTTGCAGAATGGGAGCCTCCTTTGCTTCCCAGAGTTCCATGGCTGTTCCGCCTTCATGAACTTCTTAAAAAAATATCAGGACAAAGGGTTTAATATTTGGCCCTAAGTTGACTGGATGATAGTCTAAATTGGCTCCCCCTGATCATGAATCAAATGATCTGGAATCCTACACAAGGGAAGTCACTGCTGGCTGATACCCAATGTCCAGCTCTTCTTCATGTGGTTCTGGGATTCCTTGAGAGGTTTGGGAATTACCTGCGGGGGCCTGTGTCTCAGCTGAACTGGGGAGTAACAGCAGCTCAAAGGTCTTTCATTTCTTGTTCCTCAGCTTTGATCAATTAACTTTGCCTTGAAGACGAATTGTCTCTAATTGGCATGCAAATTGAACATAAGAGGTGCCTTCTAAGACCAAGCTCAAAAATAGCAACTTTCTGTTCGCAATTAAAAACATGATTCTCCTCCATGAATGAGTGTGAGCCCAGGTTCCCCCGTGCGATGTTTCAGTGGGGCATGCCACCCTTGGCATCCACAGTAACGATCACCCTAGCATTTGACATTCGTTTTGCAGACAGGGCACCAAAAACTATGCCAAATGCTCTATGCATACAAGATGAAATTTTTTTTCTTTAAATGAATTCATTTCCAATTGAGTCCTTACTCCCCTAGGCTGGTGGGAATGCTCCTGTCAACCATCCTTGGGAACCCCTCTCCTGACCTGATCTGCTGAGACCGTCACCTGGCCCCTCCCACCCCATCATCACTGTGATGTCCATGGTTCAGGCCCTGCTGTCCCTCGGGCCCTAAGACTGTGCTGCTTTCACGATACACGGCACGGGGGAACTTTGGCGAGGCTGGGAGCCCTGGTTATTCCCTTTGGCACTCTGGGCTTATCTTACCTTGAATCTGAGGACACAGTCAGGAAGCACGGAAGGAGGCTGGGAGATTCCCTACCGCCTATGACCTTCCCCTGCTCTCTCCTCATCGTCCTTGAATGCATTTATCTTCTCCTTTTCCCTCAACAGAGAGCCAGCATGTTTTCTTCAAGGGACACACTACAGATTTTTACAAAAGATAGAAAAAGCCAGGGACCTCAAACTATGTCTGCTTCCTACTTGGAAAAAAACATTAGCGAAGGGGGGTGGGGTGGGGGTAAGGAATTCCCTGGTTGCCTGGTGGTTAGGATTCTGTGCTTCCTCTTCAGGGAGCATGGGTTCAATTCCTGGTCCGGGGAACTAAGATCCTGCTTGCTGTATATATATATACATATATGTATATGTATATATACATATATATATATATGGCCAAAGATTTGTCCTGCACAAGCCGTCATCTCTACTCTCCAGAGGAAGAAACTGAGGCTTGGAGCACTATGCCATCCAAGCCCTGGTGGTAGAAAGTCCATTGTATCCCCGTGGAAGCTCTCTACCCTTCGAATACATCAAAAACGGCTTCATACATACCCAAAAAGGTTCTTTCTCCCAATAGGGAGTCCCCTCAGTTTGGCTGCTTTGCTTTCCAGTTGCCACAGGGTGTCGCTGTTGTAACTTAGCCCTGCATTGGCCAAACTTGTGCAGAGGCTAGGCGGAGCCTCCCAGGTGCCCCGCCTCCCAGATGCTCCGCCCTGCCTAGGTCCCTGGACTCTTGAGCTTGAGCCCCGGTCCCCACCCTAGACGAGCCTGACCCTAGGCCGCTCCTCTTACGGCTCACAGTGCCCACCCTCGAGCACAGCTGCCCTGGAAATGCCTCTGGACTGGTTCCAGCTCCACTGTCCAGTCTCTTGGAGCCCTTCCCCTCCTTGGGTACCAACAACCCTTGCCTTTTGAACCCTCGAAACATGATGGATCTTATCATACAATCTTTCGCCAGATAATGAAGCCATTAGGTTGCTGGTGCTGCTAAGTCGCTTCAGTCGTGTCTGACTCTGTGCGACCCCATAGACGGCAGCCCACCAGGCTCCCCCGTCCCTGGGATTCTCCAGGCAAGAACACTGGAGTGGGTTGCCATTTCCTTCTCCAATGCAGGAAAGTGAAAAATGAAAGTGAAATTGCTCAGTCGTGTCCAACTCTTCCTGACCCCATGGACTGCAGCCTACTGGGCTTCTCCGTCCATGGGGTTTTCCAGGCAACAGTACTGGAGTGGGGTGCCATTGCCTTCTATGCCATAAGATTGCACCAGAGGAAATTACAGTTTTGGCAGGTTAAGGAAGATCTTAGATAGTGGCCATTTCCTGTGCTTCACCATCATACTTGCTCATTCTCAGAGGCAGGCACCAAGCAATACTTCAGAGATAACTGACCTTTCTCAAGGAGGGTCCCTAAGAGATTCCTGGGTAAACTTCTGGCACCGCTTTGTCCCTGAAAGAAGAGTGGACACTCAACAGCCAGTAGTCTTAACTGCTCTTCTTTGGCTCTCAAATGTGAGCAGGCATCAGAATCACCTGTAAGGCTGGTTAATACCCTGGTTGCTGGACCCATCCTCCAGAGATTCTGATTCAGTAGGTCTGGGGCCAGGCCTGAGAATGAGCATTTCTGACAAGTTCCCAGGTGCTGCTGGTCCAGGGATCGCACTTGAGAAGCACTACATTATGCCGGAGAGCTGTGTGAGCTGCGGCTCTGTGCTACTGGGGTCCTGGGGAACTTGAACCGAAGGGATGACCGTAGAGACCATTCCAGGTAGGGGCAGAGTTCCCAGCTGGCCCTCTCCGAGGCAGAGCAGGAAGTGAGCCCAGACCCGGGGGGTGGATGTTCACTAAAAACAAGGCTGGAGAAGTGACGCCAGAATGAGGAGAACTTGGAGGTCAGGGGAAGGGTTGAGATTTTATCCTGCAGGTAACAGGAAGCTGGGGAAGTGCTTTGTGGTTGGTTGGTTTGTATTTAAACAAGGGTTTCTGCATGCAAGGAAAGTGTTCCAGGAAATTGGGACCTGATTAATGCCCTGGAGCGGGGCGGCTGGAAGGGCCCTAGGGAATGCTCTTTAGTAGATGGATGGAGGCTGGGAAGCCATCCCAGGGTGGAACCTGTTACTGAACTACACTCGGGTCTGCTTGCTGCTCTTGCAGCAAAGCCCATCTACTGACACTGAGTTGTGTTGAATGAAAGCACAGTGTTTGTTTCAGGCCACCAAGTAAGGAGAATGGGCATCTAGTGCGCGAAAGATCTAAACTGCCTGATGGCTTTCAGAGAAGGGATTTTAAAGGCAATATTATGGATGAAGGTTGATCATAAACAGTTTTCTTACAGGTTGATGGTAGGTAACAGGGTGATGCTATGACAAGTCTAGACAATGTATTAAAAAGCAGAGTCATCACTTTGCCACCAAAGGCCCATATAGTCAAAGCTATGGTTTTCCATTAGTCATGTACGGATGTGAGAGTTGGATCATAAAGAAGGCTGAGCACTGAAGAACTGATGCTTTCAAACCGGTGCTGAGGAAGACTCTCGAGAGTCCCTTGGACAGCAAAGAGATTAAACCAGTCAATCCTAAAGGAAATCAACTCTGAGTGTTCACTGGAAGGACCGATGCTGAAGCTGAAGCCCCAATACTTTGGCCACCTGATGTGAAGAGCCAACTCATTGGAAAAGATCCTGATACTGGGAAAGACTGAGGGCAGGAGGAGAAAGAGGCACCAGAGGATGAGATGGTTGGATAGCATCATTGACTCAATGGACATAAGTTTGAGCAAACTCTGGGAGATAGTAAAGGACAGGGAAGCCTGGCGTGCTGCAGCTCATGGGGTTGCAAAGAGTCGGACATGACTGAGCAACTGGCAAC